TCATGATCACTTTCACCCAGGCTGCCTTCCACTTTCAAATTCTCAACCAGTTCCTCCCTATTTGTTAGGATCAAATCTAGAACAGCATCCCCCCTCATAGCTTTTTCAACCTTCTGAAATAAAAAGTTGTCTCCAATGCAGTCCAAGAACTTATTGGATAGTCTGTGCCCCGCTGTGTTATTTTCCCAACATATATCTGGATAGTTGAAGTCCCCCATCACCACCAAATCTTGGGCTTTGGATGATAGTTATTTAAAAAAAGCCTCATCCACTTCTTCCATCGGGATAAGTGGCCTGTAGTAGACTCCTAGCATGACATCACCCTTGTTTTCAACCCCTTTTAGCCTAACCCAGAGACTCTCAACACTTCCGTCTTCTATGTCCATTTCCACTTCACTCCATTTTTAATATATAAGGCAACACCTCCTCCCTTTTTTCCCCTATCTATCCTTCCTGAGCAAGCTGTATCCTTCCATACAAACATTCCAATTGTGTGTATTATCCCACCAAGTTTCTGTGATGCCAACAATGTCATAATTGTACTTATTTATCAGCACTTCCAGTTCTTGCTGCTTATTACTCGTACTTCTCACATTTGTATATAGGTATCTAAGATACTGATTTGATCTTGCCTACCAGTTTTACCCTGACCCTCATTTCTCTCTGCCATTATAGCCCACGCTCCTTCCCATTTCCGACCCTCCCTCCCATCTCTATGTTCTCCACTTACCTGTGGGCTTTGCCTACCGGTCTCCGTCAAATCTAGTTTAAAGCCCTCCTCACTAGGTTAGCCAGTCTGTGTCCAAATAGGGTCTTCCCCCTCCTCAAAAGGTGAACGCCATCTCTGCCCAGTAGTCCTTCCTGGAATAACTGATAAATACGCACTTTTTCAAGACGCTCAGCTTCATTCCTAAGCTAATTGCTTTACTTTTCCAGATCTTATCCATCACTCTTGCTTTCTCTATTCTAGTCGCTATTTAATTCTTACAGTATAGAGCAGTGTTTCTCAACCAGTGGTATGAGTACCTTATGGGGTACTCGAGAGAAGTCTGGAGGGGGTACATCAACAAAACTGAAATTTGGAGAAAACTGAATTTTTGTTTTAAGTTTTACAGTGCTTTATTATTTTTGTACTTTTTACACCCAAACATTTCATCGCCCGCCCAGTTACGATTAAGTTGTTTAAACAAATATGTTGCAATGGCAGAAAAAAAAATGTGTGTGTCTGAAAACTGTAGGTACTAGGGGTACTTTTTTTTTTTTTTTTAAAGGGATACTTTATAAAAAAAAGGTTGAGAAACACTGGTCTAGATCATGTCATGTTGCTCGCCAAATAACGTTAACTTCTCCACGTTCTCTAGTTCGATCCCATCTACACTGCCACTTACTATTTGTGTCCTGCTGCTGGTGTCGTGGAATTTCTAGAAGGGGGCTCAGGCAGCAGGACCCTATTTAAAGGGCATGTGATTCCTGTTCACAGCACTACTCCAGCAGTGACTGGAGCTGTGAGCCAGCAGCAATCCCAGGGGGAGGCTAGGCAATGCAGTAGCAATGGGGCCAGGAGCCACGAGCCTTTAAATAATAGCAGTTATATTCATATTTTTATAAAAGATAGCAGACAGACAATGTAAATTACTAAACAAAATAAACAAAACATGCAGTTTTAGTTTAGTAACTAAGAGTCGGGTTACATAGAATATCTCATCTTCAGTTATTCAGATAAGCTTCTTTCACAGACTGGACAGGCCCCCATTCTGGGCTTGATCCTTCCCACTGTTCAGTCTTAGATGTTTCTAGCAGTCATCTAGATTAGATACGGGTGTCCTCAGGTCTGGCAGTGGCCGTTATTGCTTGGCTTCCTACCTTTATATAGATTTTGCCCAAGGCCGGAATCCTTTGTGTTTCAGTTTAAACTTTGTTTTTCAGTGGTTAATGTAGGCATTCGAAGTTGCAAATGAAGCACGGGATTCAGAAAGCCTAATTCGAACTACCTACTCCGTGCCGCGTGTAGCTGCGGGCCCAGAGTCCGCACTAACGGGGATTTAAAAATGGCAGCGCCCGGCAAGATGCAAATGAAGCCTGGGATATTTAAATCCCGGGCTTCATTTGCAACTTCGAATGCCTACATTAACCTCCCTAGTTCGAACTAGGGTGGTAGTGTAGACATACCCGTAGCACTTTATAGACTAATAAAACATGTAGATGGTATCATGAGCTTTCAAGGGCACAGCCTACTTCTTCAGATGACCGGAGTTATTTTGGGAGTTATCATTTCAAAATAAGTTCTTTTGAAAGGATGTTAAAGTGCTGTGTATTCAGGTAAATATGTAAGTGCTGAAAATTTCAGCAGTTACACTTTTACATGTGGGGGGGAAGCGGCTCCCTGAGAGCCAGTGCTCGCTGGGAGCTGGCTTAAAAGTTGGCTTCCCATGAGAACCAGCTCATTACCTGCTCCCCCATGCTGCTGCCTCTGTAAACAGAGGGAGGGGGGGAGTGCAGGGTACATGTAACCGTGAAGATTAACCAATGAGCTCAAACTCATTATCTGACAGGAGCACTGTAACTAAGTTATCTGCAAAAACCCAAGAATTTTCAGGTGTCCAAGTAGCCTCTGGAATGATAGCTAAAGTTGCTCCTCCCCCAAAAGTCTGAAATGAGGCCCCTTTGTGACTCAGGCTGCTGGGGAGACTAAGCCTTTAAATTGTGCCCCCCACTGTCAGTAGGCATCAGTCATCTCAGGCAGAAGCCCCCTAACCACAGCAGTCCATCACAGGGCAGAAGCCCTGAGGTTCCCTCTCTGTCTGGTAGATGGAGAATGGCAGGTGGGGAGGGGCTCCACAAGTTTCACCCTAACTGAAACATTCACATGTAGCTCACAAGCCACAAATTGGCCTCATGCTATGTACCTTACATAGATTTCTACACTATGCCTCTCAAGTCTACACTGTTATTTATAGCAGGGTAATGTTTTGCTACTCCTCTGCTGCCAAACTGTTCCTCACTACTGTGAGAGGGCTGTGGGAAAGGCTCTGGAAGGGAGAAGGCAGCAGGAAAAAGGAAATGGCTGCAAGAGCTTTCCCTGTTGTTTCTCCCCTGCCAGAGCCTTTCACTCCAATGTGTAGCTACGCATGCTTTATACCCCACTGCAAGACAAAGTCTTAAGTTTTCTTTTTCATTCTTTCATCACATTACTCCTAGTCATGCCCTGTTGGACTATAATAAGCCATTTCCCTCTCTTCATCCTTTCACATGTTTATACTGTAAAGTATTTGTGGATGGTTATATATCTTCCTTTCTCGTCCCCAGTCATCGATAAGCCAAGGTGTATTGTGTTTAGTTATTTTCCTCTTAAAACAGTTTAAGGCGTTAGTAGGGACACACAGAGAGGCGAAAGGTGAGTTAAATTGGATGGCAAAGTAGAAAGGCCTCCACTCACCTGACCTATCAAAAATAATTTCTTTATACAGAGTGGACAGCTGCCTTTGTCTTCCAACAGTGCTTGGCTTGATTACATCTTCTTTTTCCACAAACATAATTCATACATTCCTGCATAGTGTCTCTTATGCATGGGAAGAGTTCTCCCTCAAATTTCATAAAGCCATCACTTTATTCTTTTTAAATTTCCTCCTTAAAATCTGCTGTACTTATAATGCCTACCTGGCTGTCTGCTATTTGCTAGTTGGTCAACTCCACCTGCTATGTTGACCACTGAGTCTCCTTACTTATGCATATTTATTATTAGTTTAGCAATTGGAGCATGTGGACACATGATTAAAAAGGGTGAGATTTTCAAACTTCCACACAGTGTGAACACCATCTGAAATACTTCTAATTCCATTCCTGCCAATTCTTATGCTGACAGCCCTGGAGATGGGCATATAGCTGCTGGGGAGATCATGAAAGGGCCATCGTAAGGGGCAGGGTTCCCACAAGGAAGGAATTCAAGGAAAATAAGCTTGGAAGACAGGGAGAGTAACTGTCTTCCTTATATGTTCTACAACATAGTTTGTTACTCTAATTATGGAGAATGACCTTATAGTGTGATTTGATTTTGTTTTATATTTCTGCAGTACTGAGTTTGGATTTTTTCCCCTATAAGTTCTGCATGCATTCTAGTAGGAAATATGTCAGCACATTTGCAACCTAGTACTTTTGGCGCTTATATGTTTGTATTTTAATAGAGCATGATTTCCTCTTGTCATGAATATTCTAACACAGAATTCTAGGTAAATATTAAATAATAGTCCTTTGCATAAAAGTTTTTTAAAAGTATTTTTGTGCTCTAAATTTCAGGAAGTTACATTGTGTATTTCATAATTCTTCAGGCTAGGAACTTGGAACTCTTTTATGTTTATCTTTTTCAACAGCAAACAAAATTTTGCTTCTTTTTCAATTCCAAAAGCTGTCATGTCTGCAAGTATCAAAATATTCTTCTACAGTATGTTAATGAAACATTCACTAATAAAGACATTGGTTACATTGTTATAAAAATGTTTTATATAGCACAATGCTGCCACCTAATGGAAGACAAGAGGCAAGACAACGTGTTTATGCTTATTTTTAATTTTATATCATGTATTCTAAAGTGTGGCATATGTGGCAATTCTTAGTACATATTATGGACTTCATTAGCTGCCATTGGTAAAAAAGTAATCTGTATAAGCGTATTTCTTACAACTCAAAGGGCATGTCTACACAGCAGGGCAAAAGTCGAATTAAGCTACACAATTTGAGCTATGTCAATTGAGAAGCTTAAGTTGAAATAGCTTAACTTGGCTTTAGGCGCTGTCTACACAGCAGGAAGTCAAAGGAGGAACACTCTTCCTTTGACTTCCTTACTCTTCCTTGTAAATGAGGGTCACAGGCGTCGAAGGAACAAGTCCTCCAGCTCGCCATTATTTTGAAATAAAGGCTTGCTGTTCTGTGTTATTTCAGAGTAACTACGTCAGTTATTCTGAAATAACGCTGCTGTATAGACATAGCCAAAAAGATGACTTTTTAATGCATTTTTATTAAATCAACAGGAAAATTGGAAACCTAGCATTGCTTTTGTTGTTGGGAACAAAATCGAGGATGAAGTCCACACACAAGCCTTGTCTCTTGCTGTGCAGGTGCCACAGCGGAAGCTCTTCAGTGTGGTATCGTGGGAAGGAATTTTGGAACAGGTATCTAAAATTATTTATTATTAAAACCTCTTGAATTCTGGGTACCCTTTTTCTCCTTAGCCACAAGTACTGTGATGTTAAATTAAAATTAATAGACTAGTCTAAATAAGAAAATAACCCTATTAAGGTAAGCTAGTCCATCCTGTGTCAATGCAGTGTAGTCCAGGGCTTTGTACAGACTAGTTCTAAATATCCAAAGTAGTGGAGCTTTCACTACATCCATTTAAAGATTATGCCACAGCCTAACTGTCAGGGAGTCCGAGAGTTGTGGAGAAAAAATTATAATAAACACAGAATATTTATTTAACCCAACCGTTCTATTCATGGTACTGCATTTTGTTTTACTTTATAGATAATGGAAGCTGGAAATCAAAAGGGAAAAAAGGTTAAAGATGTGCCTATGTATTATGAGGTAAGTTAAAGCGATTTATTGCAGACTCAAAGTTGTTATTACTTTTTTAAATAATTGAGCTTAAATAATTAGTTATTTTATATTTGAATAAAAAACCTTGACACTTGTTCATTGGATACAACATTTAAAAACATTTCTGTGGCCAAGATGCCAAAACTGCTTCCTTTTTGTTGAGTCTTAATCAGTCCACGTGAACTATTTGTAGAGAAAGTATCTGAGGAGCAAGGTGCCTTGTGGGACATGGGTTTCTTTGTGATGCTTGTAATATATTTTCTAGATATATTTTAATGAGGTTTCCATTAATTATAAAGATGTAGAGCTGGGATCTGTTCTTCCAAATGTTCTTAGCAGCTGATGATTTCCTCTTGTCATGAATATTCTAACACAGAATTCTAGGTAAATATTAAATAATAGTCCTTTGCATAAAAGTTTTTTAAAAGTATTTTTGTGCTCTAAATTTCAGGAAGTTACATTTTGTATTTCATAATTCTTCAGGCTAGGAACTTGGAACTCTTTTATGTTTATCTTTTTCAACTGATAAACTTAAACTGATGTACTTAAACCTCCTTCATCAATGAGAAAATAGAACTCTAGAATGCATCATTGATGTTCTAGAGCTTAATGTCTATGTAACAGCTAATTGATGTAAAATTCTAAGTTGATTGACCCAGTGGGATGTATCTGAAGGGGTTAGTAAGCATGCTTAGTACAAAGAGGGTTTCCTTTTATTTACCTAGTAAATGTTTAACTTACAGTTTGTGAGAGGCTATAAAATCCTGTGATTAATTAGAAGATTGCTTAAAATTTTCTCAGCCAGAATTTTATGGCCCTGCAGACCCTGGACATAAAGATTTTTGGACTCCTCTAAAAAGAACTTATTTACACTTTAGCTCAGTGATGACTAATAAACTTTTTATATGTCTCAGGTTTTGGTTGATTTTATAACAGCTCTTTTTAGTTGCAATGTGTTTTTCAGTAATGCTGGAGTACTATCTGAACAAGTCCCATTGGAATTATTTTCAGTTGACATGACTGTGAATTTTATGGAATTAACCCTCTTGGTTCTGGACTGGCCTCCCAGCAAACTTACTCTATATTATCTGGGATGTAAAATCCTTTCAGTCCTTCTGATAGAAAGATTTTAAATTTTAGTCCGAAACAGAACTTTTGCTTGGTACCTGCGTTTAATTACCCAGAGGAGTTTACTTGTGGACTAGATACTTATGAATTCTAGCAGTCAGTGCTGTGTCTCATTAGCTACTTTATTCCTCAAAGCCATGGTTTTTTTTAATTGAGAATATAAAATGCCTGCTCTGACCTTTTGCCTAGACCCTATTTCCTGTCTGGCTATAGCAAATTAAAAGATTGATCAAGCTGCCATGAGCATAAATTCTGCCCGCTGTGGGTAGAATTTTGCTCTACAATATTCACTGAGTTCTACTGCAGATTTTGTATTCAATATTCTCATTGTCAGTTATGATAAACATGTACAGAATGAGTGCAGAACACATAGCAGAGATGTGCAGTGCTGATCTGAAAGGAGGATTTTGCTGTTACTGAACAAAGTTTGTTATTCAATGGAGTAAATCATCATGCTAATTAGATCCCTACACTTGTGTCTCAGCTTCCAGTGAGATTGTAGCTGTGAATCCTAAAGCTTTAATGATTTTTGAACAGCTAAAGAATACTGGAACGGGTAGCAGAGTTTAGTGGCTTATTGAGGCAAACAGCACAGGTATTGATGAAATCACTATAACTGCTACAGATAGTGCTGACCTTGATACAAGTTAGTTCACTAGAATGGAATTTCCCTTCTTCCACTGCGGTGCTGCAGTCTGCAGTGCCTGCTTTAACTCCAGAAGACTAAGCTTGTGGTCTTAGTGATACCTTGTGCCAATGAATGTGTTTTTAAAAATGTGTTCTTGGTTCAGTTTTATATTTTCTACCTTTCAATTTTATTAAATATCTTCTTGTACTTGTATTATGTAAATATTGTTCTTATTGTACAGATTGGAAGACAGGGCACTGAAGCCTGATGTATAGGTTATATATAAGAATTTCATTTTGAGGAACGACAGGCTCTTGTACAAACAGAAGTCCCAGTATTATTAAAACTATTATATAGTTTGGAATTCAAATATGCACAGTTGCAGCACTCACGCTATAGGAACACATCTATATTTACAAATAATGTATTAATACATTGAGTGTGTTCACCAAAATTCTAACTCAGGCCAGGTCTATATTGGCAGAGAAAATTGATGCAAGATACACAATTCCAGCTATGTGAATTGCATAGCGGGAGTTGATGTACCTTGCATCGATTTTCTTGGGTGGCCCAACAGCAGGAGGTGAATGGGAAACTCTCCCATCGACTTCCCTTACTCCTCATGACTGTGAGGCACTCCAAAATTCACAGGGGCACTCTGTGTTCAACTTAGTGAGTCCTTACCAGACCTGCTATACTGAATGCCAGAAGATCAACTTCCAGAGCATTGATCCTCCACTTAGTATAGACATGGCCTCAGTAGATACAGATAATAAAGTACATCTGCACATCCATACTCACACCATCCATTGTAAAATAACCTGAAATGTTACCCATTATCTTCCCTATCACCATCACCTTCCTCATCTTCACCAGTGGCCATCATTCTGGCATCTCCCATGCTCTACATCTCTCTCTCTCTCTCCTGCTCACAGGTTGGGAAGCCACTTTTATAATCTGTAATTCTGACTCTACCACATCTAATGTATATTCAGTAAGGGTGTTTCCTTTCCTTGTTTGTATTTCCTCCCCTCCTAATGTTGAGGTGTCCTTCTATAGCTTAGTATATTACAGATTATACATCATTTTGTTGCCATGGCACTCTTATGGTTGGATGTTCTTTCCAAAAGTTGGTGTCAGCTCATGTTCTCTGGTTGGCTGATGTTGTTATAGGCAAAATTTTCCCTTACATTTTGCGTTTAGTTCCCCAACACATAAAGGTTACCATTTGGCCAGTTATCTATGCCAAAGTCCATAAAGTCCGTAGGCCTTAAATTTCATGCTAGCAACTGAAGCCAGTGCTTTACAGAATAGTACCTTACAGGATATAGGCATGTACGTTTCCTGAGTATAATAAAGGCAGAATAGTAAAGGCAGAGGCTAACTTGCCTTTACTATATTCATTGCCTATGAGCTACAGCACAAAGAGTGCAAGAGCTAAATCTACAAAGGTACTTAGCTCCTACACCTAATTCCTAGGCTCAGAGCCACCTAGTGAACTCCTGAGTTAGGTGCCTGAATTCTCCCATGCAAAAGGAGATCTTCAGAAGCCAGCAAACTGAGCAGAGAGCCACCTTCATCAGCCAGCAGTGAAATGCATAGGAAAAGGGTGAGGTTTAGGTCCAGAGCTACAAAGGTATTTGGATGCCTACTTCCTGGGTTTTGAGGCCTTAGCCACCTGATTTACAGGCCAGACAGAGATGACTTATGGGCCTGATAGAGATGATTTACAAGTCAGCCATGAACCCTCGCCTGGAGTGAGGTGCCTAAGCCAGGTTAACCATTTTGGTAATCCTTGCTCTAGCAGACAAAGAAGAAATAAATCTACCCAAAAGCCCGGGAGTTAAGGCTCTTACCTGGGATGTGATGTGTGAGAATTGTGTTCCTCTGTTCTGGAGCATGGGTATGCACATTCCAGGTTAGTGCCCTAACCACTGGGCTGTTAGGTATTTTGGACACATTCAGCTACCCTGTGTGTGAGGTGGCAGTATGATCCTCTAGATCAACAGTCCTAAAATTGTGGAGCAAGATCCCAAAGTGGATTGTGACCCTGTTTTAATGGGCTCGCTAGGGCTACCTTTAGACTTACTGTGGCTTGGGGGTCAAAACCAAAGAGTGAGCCCCACCACCCAAAGTTTAATGCCTTCTGCCCTGGGTGGTGGAGCTCAGGTTACAGGCCCCCTGCCTGAGACTGAAGCCCTTAGGCTTTGGCTTTGAGCCCTGCCTTGAGGGCTTAGGTGGACTCAGTCTTCAGTCTTCCCTCCTGGGGTTGTGTAGTAATTTTTGTTGTTTGATGGGGATCATGGTACAATGGAGTTTGAGAACCACTGTGCTGGGTGTGCTCTTAGAACAGGGGTGTGCAAAAGGGCCTCTGCGGGCTAGATGTGGCCCTCCAAGTGGATTGATCTAGCCCGCGGAGCCCTGCTGCTCCCCCGCCCCCAGGCCAATTTGGGCCTGAGGGCAGGGGAAGCACACAAAGTTTCCTCTGCACGCTCCTGGCAGGGCAGCGCTTAGAAGCACCTTGCGCACCTGGCAGGGCAGGAGGAGACTTTGTACACTCCCCCACTCCCAAGCCCTGATTGGCTTGGGGGCAAGGGTAGTGTGTGAAGTTTCCTCTGCCCTGCCCCCATCCTACAAGGAGCTCTTGGCGGTTAGAAGCACCCTGCGCTCCTGGCAGGGCGGGAGGAGACTTCACATGCTCCGCTGCCCCCAAGCTCTGATTGGCCTGGGGGCAGAAGAGGGAGCATACAAAGTCTCCTCCCACCACCAGAGGCATGGGAACCTAGAGCAGGGCTACTCACTATGTGGCCCATGGGTGGGATCCTTTGAACATGGCCTCCACTGGGAACATAATAGTAAATCAATATAATGGTCTTCTGTTCATATGCGTTTTAGTATTTAAATTTCTGGACTGTCAGTGCTCATTAAAAGTGCTGTCATATGGGTGGAAATCGGGTAAATATTGCATTTTATTAATATCAACAGAACTGACTTAAATGGGGCCTGTGTGTAGTGTAGTGTTGCCTTAATCTTTGCATTCATGCCCGTCAGTGTGCAAGAAGCTATTTGCATATATGTGCAACTACGCTTAAGTTGCGGCCCTCGGCATGTGCTGTGAGTATCATTGTGGCCTCCGGAGCCATGGTCTGTGGGTGGGAAAGCAGGGAATTATCCTGGCCCCACCCCTTCTGCCTGAGGCCCCACCCCTTCCAGTGTGGCCCGGGGCCACTTC